TGGCCCCGCCTGGACCTGGGGAGGGGTCCCTGAGGACCCTCTGCACCAGCCTTGCAAATGTGCACCGACCCGGGAGCTGACCTGGGACTCTGCATGCCCCCTCCTGGCGGGCAGAGGGCAGGTGGGCCTCGGGACCCTTCCCCGGGGCCTCCAGGTTGGTTTCTGTTGGTAAGGCGCCAGAGGCATTGCTTTCCCCCCTCCTTCCCCACAGCCTCGAAGGTCTCGCCCCCGTGGTGTGCTCTGAAGATCACACGGTGAGCAATAAAGCACCAGGCGAGAGGGGCCTGTCGTTCCTCGATGGCTCTGCTCACTCCAGAAGCTTCCACATGCACGGCAAGGAATATCGGGAAGGCGACAGCAGCAGGACTTGTTCGAGAGAGCCGTGAGCAAGCCCCCATGCTCCCCGTGAAGTAGCAAAAGGCACAGATGTGACTTATGTATCCATGAAACTCTGGGACTGCCCTCGAGGTTTACTCACTATCACAACCAACAGAATGTGTAGACCTTTGAAATGCTCTCTTTTCAAACAGCACTCTGTTTACTTAGGCCAGTGGTTGGCAAACCGCGGCTCGCGAGCCACCCGCGGCTCTCTGGCCCTTGTGTGTGGCTCTTCCACAAAATACCACGGCCTGGGCGAATCTATGTTGAAGAAGTGGCGTTAGAAGAAGTTTAAGTTTAAAAAATGTGGCTCTCAAAAGGAATTTCAACCGTTGTACTGTTGCTCTTTGGCTCTGTTGACTAATGAGTTTGCCGACCCTGACGTAGGCAAAAAGATCCCTCCACCTTATATTTCTCACCATCGCCTCCCCGGTCCCTCACCTCTTGAGCCCCCACACCTCCTGAGTCCCCACCTTGGAGCCTCCTCCTCCTCCACCTCCTCCTCATCTACCCCTCCCCTCCCCCCAGAAGCCCGCCTGGAGCCGGCTGCTCTGCCCTCCCTGCTCAGGGGGGCGGGGGCAGCCACACTGCTGGCGCCTGAGGCCAGGTCAGGCTCTCTAGGACCTAAGTCACTCACAGAGGCCTTTGCTAGCCAGCTTGTCCTTATCTCCTTCACAATCTCCCTCTGCACATTTCCCGACAAAATCCGAAACGAGTCACTGACCACAGCCCTTTACACGTACCTATTGGACCAGCCCAGTGGTGTTTCGTGCTGACTCGTCCAGACGGGGCTGGGCGGGGGCGGTGAGCGGGCGGCCTGCTTCCCAGCTAGAGTCCCGGATGCTAACTGAGCTTGTTTAGTTTTTTTTTTTATTTTTATTTTATTCTTTATTGTTGAAAGTATTACATATGTCTCCTTCCCTCCCCCCGCCCCCATTGTCCTCTCCCTGGCTGCTCCCACCCCCAACACATGCCCTCACCCCCTTACTGTCTATGTCCATTGGTTATAGTATAACCGTTATCAGTATAACCGTTATACTGATAAGTATGCATACAAGTCCTTTGGTTGATCTCTTACCCCCTTCCCTTGCCTTCCCTCTGAGGTCTGACGGTCCAGTTGATTTCCTTGAACATGTCTAGCTTGCGTCTGTGTGGGGCGTTGATTGGAAAGAAGGGAACACGTGCTGTAGAAACTATTATACTACCCCTAGGTGTGCACTCCGCAGTAAAGCCTCCGAGTACAGTGAGTGATCTGGGGTTAACGCCTGTGCTCCCCCCATAGGGGCGAGGTGGAGCCGCTGGCCAGACATAGCTGGGGTGGGGGGGGGGGGGGGGGGGTCCAGACCTCCCTTAGTCATTCTGGCGGGGAGTCCCCAGGTGCAGAATGTGCTCCTGCCGTGTGGCATCGGGGCCAGTGCGCCCCTTGTGGTGAGCTCACAGTCCCTCCAGCCCGCAGCCTACCACTGCTCCCAGACCCGCCCCAGCGGTAAGCTTCCCTGGCCAGCTCTCCTCCAGTGACAGTGTCCGCCCCTGGTTTGAGGCTCAGAGCTCCCTGTGACGGGGGGTTTTGATAAGAGGGCACCCTGCAGTTTTGAAACCTTGGTGGCCAGAAGAGAGAAACGTCACCCCGGCCGAGCTGCCGGCAGTCTCTGACTCATGTGGGGGAGCCGCGGATGTGCTTTGGTTTCGTAAAGGCAATGGAACTCTGTGCCGGCAGCGCAGGGCCGGCTGGGGCGTGGCTGTGGACTGGGCTGTCTTCGCTGTGGGCAGAAGTTCATGGGGAGGAGATTCGGCTGTTTGGGGAAAAGGCTCAGACCGGGGGAGCCCAGAGGAGCCAGTGTAGGGGTCCTCACTCTGGAGTGAGGCGTCTCCAGCCCCTCTGCAGGGAGAGGCAGGCCTGAAGCCCGAAGCCTGGCTGCAGGGGCCAGGGTGAGGGAAGCCAGCAGGAGGCGCCGTAGCGGGGCCTGCCCCGGGACCACTGGCGCTCTGAGTTCTAGGATCCAGTTTAATGCTTTCCCACCATATGATTCCTGCTCAGGCCTTTAGTCAAGTTCTGTTCGGGTTTGTCCTGGTTGTGGCTGTGCCTTGGGGAAGAGGCTGTGTCCATGTGTGGAGGGGCGTGGCTACAGCGTGGAGCAGCTGGTTCCCGGGAACAAGAGGTGACCTTGTCCTTGTACGGTGGGGGTGGAGGTGGAGTGGGGTCTCAACCAGGAGAGACTCAGGGGCACGTGAGCATCCCCTGGGCATTTCAAAGAATGCAGGGCTCGGGGGATCCAGGGAGACAGTGTCTGGGATGCTCTGTGGGTGTTCAAGGGCAGGCACATTAAGGTGTCCATGCCCCACCCCCTGCTGGTGAGACTTGAGGGCAAGCAAACCAGCTAAGGGGGGCAGGGCTCCTGAGCCCCCTGTCTGTCCCCTGGTCAAGTGGACCTCACTCAGCTGAGCCAGGTACTGCTCTGAGGTCGTTTCCTGCTGTTCAGGGCACAGGCCCTGCTGGCCACAGCCCTACCTCGTCCAGCCCCTGGCATTCTCCTACTTTCTACCCATTCCATGCGGGTTCCATTGGCTCCACAACGAGGTCAAACTCTCAGATTCAAAAGACCACTGCTCAGGGCAGGGTGAAGATGTGGTTTACCTGCTGTTCGCACAAACTCAATCTCTGTCAGCAATGTGATGTTCCATTCCCTAAAAGAAAACAGTGCGTCCATAGAAGCACCGTGAGGCAGATAAACGGACCCCTTCTCCTCGACGCAGGTCAGACAGACTTGGTCCCACTTCCAATCCAAGCATCGCCTCTGAAGAAGTGGGTTTTGTTCACATGCGGTACAGGAAGGGAAGCGTTTATACCCCATTAAGTGGAAGTGGCTTGAAGAGCTGTCTGTCAGAGATTAACAGGATGCTCACCAATCACACTCTCTCTTCCTGCATAGGAAAACTACATTTCCCAGCCTCCTTTGCCATGAGGTTGGGGCCCTGTGGCTGGGATCTGGCCCATGGAATGTGAATGTCAGAGAGATCAACCACTTCCAGACTTGGCCACCAACCCCCTGTGAGATTCTATTTGTGCACCTTCCCCTACCTGTGTGGATGAAAGGGGAGACCTCCCCCACCCTCACCCCAGACCATGGCACCTCTTGAGATAACCTTATGAATCGCTGCCATCACTTGGGGATACACGGTCAAAGAAACAGCTGCTTGTGGCTTTGCAGGCATCATGGTTTGGCAGGTAAATACTGCTTGGCTTAACACACTGCCTGGAGGGTCCCTTGGCTCCGGAGGCCAGAACGAAGGCCAGTGGGCAAAGTGGTTCCACTTTGCCTCATCAGGAATTAAGATTTCCTTCCCAACCTTGTAGTGACTTGTGTAGTAGCAAATTAGTGTCCCTGGTGGTATTTGTTGAAAATTGGACCATCATTTTGGGGGACATACGTGGAATAATTCATCGGTGCACTCCAGCACAGATAGCAAATGTCTAATCTCATAGGGTTCTTTCTTAGAGTGGTTGAGTTGGAGCAAATGGACTGGAAGTCCCACCATTTCCCCAGAGCACTGGGCACCATTGTGACCCCAGGGAGGTGGCCACCCAAGACCGCTGTCTTGCTGGAGGAGGTCCTGGAGATGCAGGATCACCAGCTGTAAGAAGCACTTTTTCCCCCCTGAAAAGGGCTGACCCAAAATGGCGTGATTCTGGCTCTCCCCTAGTGGTACCAGTCAGAGGAAAGCAGCAGATGGGGGTGTGTTCTGTGCTGGGGACGTCTCCCACCCTCGTCTGGCTGCCCTGCAGACCACTGTGCGTAAACAGGAAGATGAGCCTCCCCTTGCTAAGCCTCTGGTGAAACAGGAAGGAAGCAGGTGGCGTCTGCCACCTCCAGTCCATCCCAGCTGGACCTTGTCCTCCGCCCATTCTCTCAGGAGAGCAAGGAATCTTCAGCTCCCACCATGCTCTCTGTTTGAGAGAAGGAGTGACTCTTCCAAAAACACTCCAGGACTCCGGGAATCTGACCCCGAGAGGGATTAAGTGACTCAAACTGGATGTCCATGTTAATATGATGAGTTAATCCTCGGTCATAAACACGGAGCCGGCCCCTACGGAGACGATGCTCTGGCCTGGCCAACAGATGTGGCCCTCCCACCGCAGCCAGAGCGGGGAGGACGACCCTGCGAGATGACTCCAACGGGCCTTCCTGCTTTGTAATCTTCCCCAGCGAGGGTGGCCGGTCTGACCAGCCCTCCCTCTCCGCGAGGAAGCAGCTCTCAGCAGGGGTCATGTGTCCGAAGACGGAGGAGTGATATCCTCCAAACCACAGGGCTGGGCTCTGTCCGCCAAGGGGAGGTGGCCAAGGTTAAGTCCCAGAGTGGATTTGCAACAAGAGCTGAAGGGCCGAGGACACTTCATGAATCTCAAGAGCAGGGGAGAGAAGACCTACTTCACTCGAGGGCTCCATCCTTTCCGGACACTGCGGGGTCACCAAGGGCAACTCTCCGAATCGCCTTGTTCAAGTTCCCTGTGAGCAAGCCAATCCCTCCACTTTCCCACTGCCACGGGGTGTTTCAAGGCCCCTCCAGACCCTCCTGGTGTTAGAAGACCCTCCTTCCCCACAAGGACGGCAGCACACTCCAGCTGGGGCTGGTTATTCTGTTTTATTGGCAAACTCACATTTGCTACATAAATCCACTGCGCAACCCAACACACACATACTCGACATAAGAGAGGACGCTACGAAAATACAACTCTGGATAGTAAACAGAATCGCCCTCGGCTCTCCCCAGTCCATTACTGGTGGGAGCACTGGTGTTTAAGGTCAAAACAGGGAAGAATAGGGAATGAGGAGGCATAGAGGACTCAGCCGGTGCCATTGCCCCAGGAGGATGCTGGGCTGGGGCAGGCGGGCGGGCTTTTCTTGGTTGTGTGGCCATTTCTGCCACCTTCACACCTTCAGGAAGGGAGAGAACCTCTTCAGGTGATGGGAGACCCTCCGTAAGGAGCTGGAGCTGGGGCCGGTGCTGCCCAGTCAGAGCCAAGTGTAGCCCCGGACCCCACTTCCCTAGGGCAATCCCGCTCGGGCTATCTGCCTTTGGCATGCCTGATGCGGGGAGGTGATGGAGGTGAGGGAGAGAAAGTTCAAAGATGCTTTTCCTGACCCTGTCTTTAGCAGATGCCACAACTGTTCTACGGGCACCAGCTTCCATCTCCTCACCCCGAATCCCTTCCAGGACTTGAGCCCACCTGTCCCCTTGGTGAGGAACTCACATCCCAGGGACGTGAGAGCTGGCCCCCGCCATCAGCCAGGCCATCTGAAGGGCTGGCACACCTGTTCACGTGGGCAGGTCCCTGGAGCCGTAGGAAGCTCTCCTGGCCCTCAGTGTGACTGCCAGGGCAGGGGCTCAGCATGCTCGGCAGAGCTGCAGGGGAGCCGAGCCTTCCAGGACAGGACAGGACAGGGTGGCGGGCAGCACCCTGGGCTGCATGTGGCCCGCGGGCCCATTCTCACGCTCCAGGGGGCTGAGGTGGGGATCTGGCGGAGCCGTGCAGGAGAACAGAGGCGGCGAGGGCAGCCTAGGGCCACCTCCTCTCCCCGTTACAGAGACTGAGAGATGCCGGGGAATGCATCTGTTCTGTTTTGTTGCATCTGAGAACTCAGGAGAATGTCATGCTCAGACTGTTAGACTGTTAGACATTCCATGGTGGGTACGGCAAGGGACAGAGGCAGAGGCCGTGGTGGGCGTGGGGGACACTGCCAATAGTCACGTGACCCTAGCCTCAGGGTCTTGGCACAAAGCTGTCATGGAGACCCTGGCGTTTTAAACATGGACACGTGGACACATGGACACACATACACACACACACATGCTCTCTCTCCCAGGGCTGGTGCTCCTGGGCCGATGGAAACACTGAAGCGGAGGAACCGTGTGGGGAACGTGATTACACGCTGGGGCTTCAGGCCTCTGTCCTGACACTTGTGCTTCAGCGCTGACTGTTTAAGGACCACAGACATCAGCCTGGGAGCCCCAAGACCTGTGAGACCCCATCAGCCCTGAGCTTGGGGCATCTGCTTGGCTCTCCCTGCACCATGGTGTGCTGGGGTCTCCGCTCTGCATGCCACTCCCCGCCCTGCCCCCATGCGCACTACCAGTACCCATTCCCCGAATTCCCTCTCCCCTCCAACCTCCTGCCCCCCCCCACCTACCTTCCAATCCCCTTGTGGGGGGGGCTCAGTGATCCTGATGACAGTACAGCTTTGGTCACCTCCTGGGATGACATCAATACGTTTGGACAGGTGTCCTCTATGCACACCCAGTCCCCTCCTCCTCTCCCTACGCCCCCCTCCATGCATGTCCTCTCACCCTTCACTCCCCACCCCGGCCTCTCTTTGAAAACCTCCTGCAGATGCCAGTTCACCGTCTTCCTCCCGCCAGCAGCCCCGCCTGCAGCAGAAGACGGGACTGACGGGCTCACCCCAGCGGGGGCTCAGCTAGCTGCATGCCTCCGGGAACGAGAGGCCTGGCTGCCCAGCCCCTCGTCCGGCAGGAAGAGGCACCTGCTGCCAGCAGCCGGCCAGCAAGCTCAGACCTCACTTCACCCCACACATGGCCGACACCGGCTAGGCCAGCCCCACGGCGGCAGCGGCGGGGGGCGCCCCTTCCCCGTTAGGCGCGTGCGGGGCCGGGAAGGTCGCCTGGAGCTTGCGGAGCAGCTCGGGCTCCTCGCTCTTGGCCCCGGAGGCCTCGGGGGTGCCCAGCGGGTAGGCCTCGCGGGGCCCGCCGGTCCTGGCGCAGGCGAGGATGGCGCGGCAGGCGGCGCGCAGGCGGGCCATGTCGCGGTGGGTGGTCTCGCTGACGAAGCAGTAGAGCACGGGGTCGGCCACGCAGTTGAAGGTGGTGAGCAGCAGGGCGAAGTGGTAGGCGTTGAAGACGCGCTGGGCGAAGAGGCAGCTGGACTCCCAGACGCTGCGCACGAGCAGCAGCACGTGGTAGGGCAGGAAGCAGGCCAGGAAGATGACCACGGTGCTGAGCACCAGCCGCTGGATCTGGTCCTTGCGGCTCTGCTGGGTGCCGTGGCTGCGGCGCACGGCGCGCAGGATGCCCCGGTAGGCGGCCAGCAGCAGGCAGAGCGGGAACAGGAAGCCCACCAGGAAGCGGTAGTAGTTGATGTGGCGCTGCCAGGGCTGCAGCGGGTAGTGCTCGAAGCAGACGCGGTGCCGGTCGGCGTCCTCCACCAGCTCGGTGTGCAGGAGGAAGTAGACGCTGGCCAGCAGCTCCTTGGCCCAGATGAGCACGCTGACGACCACGGCCGCCTTGAGGGTGCGGAACTGGTGGAAGCGGAAGGGGTGGGCCACGGCCAGGTAGCGGTCGATGGAGATGCAGCAGAGGAAGCCCACGCTGATGTAGATGTTCTCGTAGAGCAGGATGCCGCACACCTGGCAGGACAGGTCGCCGTAGGACCAGTTGTCGTGCTGCAGCACGTACTGCAGCCAGAAGGGCAGCGAGCAGATGTAGAAGAGGTCGGCCACCGTCAGGTTGCACAGGTACACGCCCAGCTCGTTCCGCGCCCGGATCTGCAGGTAGCCGAAGTACAGGGACAGGCAGTTGGCCGGGAAGCCCACCACCAGCACGGTGACGTACACCACGGGGGCCAGCGTCTGGTGGATGGTGTGCTCGATGGTGCAGTTGGGGCGGGAGGCGTCCGCGGTGACGTTCCCCATCTTCTTCGGGCCCGCAGGCGCCTCACCACGCCCGGCTCAGGAAGCGGGCCTCTCCGTCGCCATGGCGTTCACAGGGCTGCCCCTCCTCGGCGGCAGGTGAGCTTCTGAAAGTCAAAGGCGGGAAAGGCTTAGAAGGAGAGCAGCTGCCATGTCTATGGCACCTACTGTGTGTCTGACACTGTAGAGCAGCTGACATGTCTATAGCACCTACTGTGTGTCTGACACTGTAGAGCAGCTGGCATGTCTATAGCACCTACTGTGTGTCTGACACTGTAGAGCAGCTGGCATGTCTATAGCATCTACTGTGTGTCTGACACTGTAGAGCAGTTGGCATGTCTATAGCACCTACTGTGTGTCTGACACTGTAGAGCAGCTGGCATGTCTATAGCACCTACTGTGTGTCAGGCGCTGTAGAGCAGCTGGCATGTCTATAGCACCTACCGTGTGTCTGACACTGTAGAGCAGCTGGCATGTCTATAGCACCTACCGTGTGTCTGACACTGTAGAGCAGCTGGCATGTCTATAGCACCTACTGTGTGTCAGGCGCTGTAGAGCAGTTGGCATGTCTATAGCACCTACTGTGTGTCTGACACTGTAGAGCAGCTGGCATGTCTATAGCACCTACTGTGTGTCTGACACTATAGAGCAGCTGGCATGTCTATAGCACCTACCGTGTGTCTGACACTGTAGAGCAGCTGACATGTCTACAGCACCTACTGTGTGTCAGATGCTGTTCAAAGGGCCTCACTGAACCTACAGCAGTGGTGCTCAACCTTTCTAATGCTGCGACCCTTGAATACAGCTCCTCATGTGGTGGTGACCCCCGACGATAAAATTATTTTTGTTGCTACTTCATAACTGTAATTTTGCTTCTGTTAGTGAATCGTAATGTAAATAGCTGTGTTTTCCGATGGCCTTAGGCTCTACAGCAGCGGTTCTCAACCTATGGGTCGCCTAAGACATGGAGTAAAAGAACCGCTAGCAGGGTCACCTAAGACCATCGGAAAACACGGCTATTTACATTACGATCCATTAACAAAAGCAAAATTACAGTTATGAAGTAGCAACGAAAATAATTTTTTGGCTGGGGGTCACCATCACATGAGGAGCTGTAATCAAAGGCCAAGGCGTGAGGAAGGTTGAGAACCAGTGACCAGCCAACCAACTCCAGCTCCACTAGGACCTCTGAACGCCATGTATGTCTCCCCGTCCTCCCTCCCCAGCTGGTCCCTTACTTATGCTCCTGGTCACCGCGGCACAGCCCAGCCCGAGCCCGGCTCTCCAAGGAACAGCGAGGGCCCAGCCACGGCCGCTCCCAGCAGCCAGCCCCACTCGCGTTCTTCCCACCTGCTCACGGGAACGGGCCAGCTCAGTCCACGTGGAGGCCACCGCCCTCCTGGGGCCCATCCCTGCCCACATCCCACAGTGCTCGGGCGAGACACAGAGGCTGAGCTCCCCCGGGCACTGCCTGGATTCCTGGGTGTTTGTCAGCGGGTGTGGACCCTCCTCTCGTCCACGGAGCTTGGGGACCCACGTGGGGGTCAGTGCAGGACCGGGCACCGACAGACAGACAGGAGCGTGAGGCCAGGGCCGGCCGCCAACGCGCCGTTCACCCTTTCTGAGCCTCAGCTTCCGCCTCTGTGAAGTGGGAGTAGAAACGCCTGCCCTCGGGATGAGGATGAGGGCCCGGAAGATGACGGATGCCAAAGTGCGCGGCGCTGTGCGAGAGGTGGAGTAAAAGATGGGAGTCTTACGTTAGTGAAACGCTCCTATTATTGAGAACTGAAAGAAAACCCTGCATGTGCAAATACATTGGAATCAAGACAGAATAACATCTTTTGTTGTAAGCCCACTTTACAAATTAGTGATATAACAAAACCAAAGGCTTAAGCTTCCCTGTTGATTTAATGCTTCTGGTTCAGATGAAAAATCTGGCTGCGTCTAAATCAGGGTCTTTTTCAACCTCCCCCCTCATCACCCTCCCAAGGAGCCTAACTTTCAGACATGTCCCCCCTACACCCCGGCTCCATGAAATGATACTACCTCAGGTATACTGCATATCTGTTTATGTCCTGTGCCCTTGGGGGTGACAAACCATTTAATGCCTAAGACTAATAATCATTTAATATCTAAGGTGTTTTTTCACCCCACCCAAGAACTACCCCTCTCCCCCTTGAGAATGCATGGTCTACACCAGTGGTCAGCAAACCGCAGCTGGCGAGCCACATGCGGCTCTTTGGTCCCTTGAGTGTGGCTCTGCCAGAAAATATCATGTGCAGGAACGCACGTACAGTGCGATAGAAACTGCGTGGCCCGTGTGCAGAAGTCGGTTTTTGGCCTGGGCGAGTCTATTTTGAAGAAGTGGCGTGAGAACACTCAAGGGGCCGACCACTGGTCTACACGGCTGCAGATGCTGAAAGAGTGGCCCGAATGAGGGGTGTGGTGTGGCGGTACCGGATCAAGCTGGGACTCTCCGACCAGAAGAGAAACCTCTCAGCCTTCAGGACCCACATCTCATCACCTGCCAACCAGGGTACCCCCCCCCCCTCCCCCGCTTGTGGCCTGTCTTGGCTCCCACTGGCCCTGTGGCCCCCGAGCTGGCCCTCAGGCTGGAAGTGGGTACAGTACACTTCCGGAAGGAATGAGTGACTGCCACCTCCCCATTTCACAGGTGAGGAGGTCCCCACGGGGAAGCAGCCTGCCCAAAGCCAGCCTGAGGAAGGAAGTGTTGGTGTTCTTGCTCCATGCCCTCCCCCCCTCAAATCCCCAACTGAGACTCACCCCCAACCTCTCAGTCCCCAGAAGACTGGGACCCTTGGTCAGGGCCACCTCCCTGTCCTCTCCTCCCCAGGACACAGGCCCGGCACTGCAGTGATGGTGGTGGAGGGGGTGTTCCTGCTGTAACTTCGTGTACATAACATGAAGTTCACCGTGTTGGCCATTCCTGAGTGCATTGTTCTCTGGCACGAAGCACATTCACATTGTTCTACAACCAGCACCCCCATCCATCTCCAGAATTCTTCATCTTCCCCAACTGAAAGCCTCCGTCCCCAGGAAACACTAGCTCCCCATGCCCTGTCCCCCCGGTTCCCGGCACCCCCCATTCTACTTGCTGTGTCTAGGACTTTGACTATTCTAGGTCCCTCATACAAGCGGAGTCGGACAGTACCTGTCTTTTTGTGACCGGCTTATGTAGCTTAGTGTAAGGTCCTCAAGGCTTGACCATGCTGTCACGTGGAAGAAGGTCCTTCCTTGGGCAGGTGGAGTACGGCTCCATGCTATGCCCGTGCTGCCTTCTGTTTCCTCACTCCCTTTCAATGAGCACTTGGGCTGTATCTACCTTTAGCTGTTGCGAATAAAGCTGCTGTGAATGTGGGTGTGCAGGTATCTGTGTGCGTCCCTGCTCTCTGCGTTGTTTCTTTTTTTTTGGGGTGGGGGCATAAACCCACAGGTGGAATCGCAGGACCACATGGTAACTATTTTTAACTTTCTGAGGATCCGTCATTCCGTTTTTTACAGCGGCTGCCCCATGTTGCATTCCCACCACCAGTGCCCAGGTTTTTCTTGTTGTTTTGTTTGTTTTTGTTTTTGCTGTTTGTGTTTTGGCTTTGCTTCCACATTCCGATGGCGAGAGGAGGGGAGAGGGGCCGATGAGACCTGTGACCCCTCAGCTCTGCCCGCAGCCCGGTGAGTGAGTCAGAATCCGGCCCTCCCTGCCCTCCCTGTGCCACCTCTCCTGTCCGTGGCCCCCACCCCACACCTGCGGGGCCGAACGGCTCACCGCGCTCCCTACGAGGAAGCACACCGCCGCGCAGGACCCCCCCCCGGACCTCGGGCTCCCCCGAGTCCAGATGCAATCCGCACACAGGAAGCCGGAATCCGTTCATCAACACAGGCCCTCCCAGGCCAGGGAGACCGGAGAATGAGCCCCAGCGAGAACGCGTCCCGGCAGGCCCTAAGCGCTCCCTGCGAGTCACGGCCTGAAGCCCGTTGTTTGTTAGCGGTGTTAGCGGGTACAGGCACGGGGAGGGCTGGCACCGCCGCTCGCCGCTTCCTCTTTCCTCCGCCAACCATGAGTGACGTCTGGCAGCCAAAGTCACAAATAGTCAGGCCTGCAGGGCACAGACACTCGGACCAAAGTACCTCCCACGCTCACTCAGGAGCAAAAACACTGACATTCTAGACGGCGGTTCTGGCCCTTCGGCCTGAGTCACCGGAGGATTTGCCACCGCAGGGGACTGAACCACACCCCGAGTTTCTGATCCCGAGGCTCTGAGCCGGGGCCGGAGAACCAGCCACAAACTCCCAGGTGCCTTGTGGCTGCGGGCCTGTGAGCCACCCTCTGAGGAGCCCGGGACCCACAGGTCCAGAAAGTCTGGGGTTTGCTCCGGATCGGGTGTTGGACACGGGGTCCCAGGCTGGGGAGCGAAGGCGGCTGGAAGGAGCCCTGGAGAGCCGGCAGACCGGGATCAGAGCCGGGATGCAGCCTTCGGGAGCTCCGCAGCCTGAGGCCGGCTTTGCTTTTCAAATACGGCGCCTGAAGCTGTATGTCAAATGAGCTGTGTTTGCAAACTCTTTTCCCATTCCTGGAGCCTTTCACATCTGCCCTCTTTCCCAATCTTCGCAACCGCCTCCTCATTTCCCCCATTTTATTATATAGATAAGTGTGTGCATAAGCATAGACGGGTCTGCAAGGACTTTAACGGCCAAGGGAACGTGAGCTCCGAAAGGAAGGAGGGGGCTTTGATGCAAGGTAAGGACCTCTTGCACGCTCCAAGCCAGGAGGAGGGGCTGTGTGCAGGAGCACAAGTCAATAAATGAAAACAATCTCAGACATCAGAGGGAGTTGCTTGCCCAGCAGCCCAGCGCCTCGAGGTTTCCTTCGACAGCATCTGCAAGGTCCTCGGCACCAGACTAGACATGGGACTGAGGGATAAGGAAGGAACGGCTCCCGCCCTCAGGGAGATAAGAAGGCCCCTTACAGGCAGGACTAACTGCCACCAGGGGCCCTGGACTCGGACTTCCTGCACGTCCCTCCCACTCCCATTCCCTCCTGGTCTGTGCCTGTCACTCCGCATTCTGTGGGATAACAGCTCCTTTGTCATCTCTGCCCCTCTGCACTCTCAGGAGGTGCAGACCGCACTGCCCTCCCCCGCTTCCTGTCACCTCACAGGCGTGCCCAGCGCGGCCTGCCCCTGCTTGCCTCTGTCCTTTTCTCCTCTAGTCTGTTGCCTGCCCCGTCACTCACGGTGGGCGGCTGGCCTTCAGCTTCTTCCCTCATCCCACCCACAGCACCCACTTCATGTCCCAGTTCTACCATTTTCAACCCTTACATGTTTCCCACTTCCGTCCGTCACCTCGTTAGCTCCCCGACCAGAGCCCCGATGGGCGGGTCAAGACCTCCTCCAAGAATCAGTGCCCTCAAAGCCATCCTCTACACCGATCTAACCCAGTCACTCCTGCCTGGAACCCTGGAATGGCTTTCTAGTCATCCACCTGGTCATCATCCACCCACCCACTCTCCCATTCGCACAACGAACACTTCTTGCGTGTCTGTTATACGGAGGGCACTGCACTGAACACCGGCTCCTAAGGTAACTCAAGCTGCTTTTAGTCTCCCAGGGAGGGGAGGAGATAAGCAAACCAGCTCCTAAAGAGAGAGGAGGATTTTAAGGGAGCCCAGTAGAGGGGACTTAGCCCAGCCTTTTAGAAAAGCCTTCCTGAGGAGCAAGTTATGCTGAGACCAAAAGAGGGGGGAAAGGCTGCCTGAGCAGCGGGCGTTTCTGCCGGAGACACGTGTGCAACGGATCTGGACCCAGAGAGCGAATGGGCTCCTCCGGAACCGGAAGTAGCTTGGCACGCCTGGATCTAGGCATAAAGGGGGCCTGGCCAGAAAGGAGCCGAGGAGCCGTAGAAACTAACAGTTCATTAGAAGGGAGGTGGGAAACAGGGACAAATCTGAGATGTTCCTGACTATGAGTGATTAGTCCTTATTAGCTCTTAAAAATATTACCTTTTAGATGGATAACTGGGTGGGCAGATGGGTAAATGGATGAGCAGAGACATGGATGAGAGGTAAATAGATTGTGTGAGTGAATGAGTGGATAGATGGATGAATGGGTGGGTGGATGGCTGGGTAGATGGGTAAATGTATGAGCAGATGCATGAATAAGAGGTAGCTGGGTGGTCAGATGAGTAAATGGATGAGTGTGTAAATGGCTGGGTGGGTGGCGGGTACGTGGATAGATGGATTAGTTCATGGGGAGATGGGAAGATGAATGGGTGGGTAGATGGCTGGGGTGGGGAGGTGGTTGGGGTTGGGTGCTGGGACAGTGGCATTTTCATTAATAGAAACAGAAAAGTGAGGAGGAGGGTGCCTATAACCTTGTTTCCAGCCGCCTGAGCTGCTCAGAGGGTCCTGCTCTTTCAACCAGGCCTTGTCACAGCCAGTCCTCCTTCCATCAGTGCCTGAGGGCAGACAGGCATCCCTTCCCTACCTGGTCTCCACAGGAACCCTACTCCTCAAAAATCAAGACTCAGTGGGTGCAAAAGTGTTCTGTACATAAAAAGATGCAGATGGGACAGAAGAGCCAACCCAGATCCGCCGAGAGCCCTCCACCTGCGAGGCACAACTCTTCCAATGCCACTCTCTTCCGCGCCCATTTTACAGATGAAGGAAACACAACTGAGGTCATGAGCCAAGACCTGCTCGGCCAGGTGTGGAACTCGGGCTGGCCCGCACTTTCCTGGATGCCAGGCTCCCTTCCTGTTTTTCTTTATTGGCGCTGAGCAGCCCCCCGCCACCTCCAGCCTTCCCCAGGCCACCACGAGGGCCCCCGGCGTGGTCCCCAGCTGGCCCCTGCACCTGGAGGGTGCTCTGCCAGGCCACCCGTTCCCTCCGCACCCACGGAAGAAAGCCTGTGCGTCCAGCCGTGCTTCCCTGAGGGGAGGGGGCGGGGCAGAGAACCAGATCCGGGAGCTGCGGCATCTCATCACTCGTTTATCATCACACAGAGGCACCCCAACCCCTAAAAGCAAACTGCAGACAAATGCCATCAGCACCGAGGGGTCTGCGAGGACGCTAACGGCCAAGAGAACGTGAGCCCCGAAAGGAAGGGAGGGGCTCTGACGCGGGGTCAGGACCTCTTGCACGCTCCAAGCCAGGAGGAGGGGCCGCGTGCAGGGGCACGGCTGACACACACACACACACACACACACACACACACACACACGCACACACACACACACACCGGTCCAGCCGCCGCTTCCCGGGTGCACGCGGGCACACAGACCGGGCCAGGGTGCCAGGGTGGCCCCGCTTTCGGGGGCTCTGAGCCCACAGAGCAGGGGGTTTCCGGCAGACCCCGCTCCTCTTCCTTTCTCTGCTCGAACCTCTACATCCTTGAACAAGGCGGTTTCATTTCCCACAAGCGCCTGCCTGTCTCGGAGGCTGTCACTGTTTCCCTCTGGGCGAGAGGAGGAGGCAGGCGGCATTTTTCCTTGCCCCCTCCACTCCCCCAGGTAGCCACACTCCAGCAACAGCTAGGCAGACTCTCCTTTCTTTCTTCCTTTCTTCCTTCCTTCCTTCCTTTCCTCCCTCCCTCCCTCCCTCCCTCCCTCCCTCCCTCCTTCCCTCCTTCCCTCCTTCCCTCCTTCCCTCCCTTCCTCCCTCCTTTCTTTCTTTCTTTCTTTCTTTCTTTCTTTCTTTCTTTCTTTCTTTCTTTCTTTCTTTCTTTCTTTTCTTTCATCCTGTTTCTTTGGTTAGCCCATTTATTTCAGAATTTCAGTTAGCAACGGAAATAATAGTATCCCATTCTCCTTTTCTCCTTGCAGCTTGTGGCTATTTCGTTTCCCCTCTTTCCGTTTCTCCCACATAAACTGGGGAAGGGGAGAAAGGTTATTTATAGAAACCCCTAGCCTTTTGTTCCTTTTACTTTATTTGGCTCACTTTTTTTCTGGTTATTTTGTGTTTCAGAAGGTTTAAAACCTGACTGTGTTTGCTTAGTTATCAGGTAGAAAACGTGTGTCATCGGCTGTTTCCCCCATATCACGCCTCCTGAGGGTCCTTCCCGTCGGTTCCTGCAGCAGAGCCTGGAAAGGGTGCACAGACTTCAGCACCCGGACCCTCGGGGAACCCAGGAGCTGCCAGAGTTCACCATCAGGTGAGACAACTGTCCCTTTCCTTTGACAGCACTGTTGTTCGGCTCTGCTTGACGGCAGGCTCTCACTTCTAAAGCCGTTTCCAAGTTCAATCCCATCTGGGCTCACGAGGCTCTGATGGGCCTGGCACTGCCAACCCGTTTCACCGAACCTGGAGCCCAGAGAGGCTGACACGGTCGCTCAAGTTCACGCTCAAGTGCACGCAGCAGGTCAGGGCAGTCTGGACCCAGAATCCAGGCATCGAGGCACCGATGTGCTGCCTTCAACCGCTTCTGCCCACAAACCACAGCGAGAGAGGCACTTGAGATGGTAACCCAGCACACACACGCTACACACGTGTTCTACACACACACGCACGCACGCACACACACACACACACACACACACACACGTGCGTGCACACAGGCACGGACTTCCCCACCGCAGTACTCACCCTACCGTCTGCGGTGCCCTCTCGTCGGGTCTCTTCTGTTCTGCTTTTCTCAGTGCAGGTCCTGAGCGACTGAATGGATTCCCTGGCCCCCCAGTGCCGACTGACCCCTCCTGCTCAGCCTCCGGCCCCGGGGAGGCGATGCCCCCGCCAGGCGAGGGGCGGGCAGAGCGTGGCAGCGGCAGGAAGCTGTCCCCGCGGATCCCCGGTCCTCTGTGCCTTGCTTCACCGCGGAGCTCTGCCCCCCAACCTCCAGCAGCTGGGCTTTTGGCTGCAGCTCCTCCGAGGTCTGGGGAGGAGCCCAGAAAGCACCTTCCGGGGCCTGGCGGACCCCCCAGGCCGCGGCGGGCAGCCCGGCAGGCAGGCACCGGGACCCACGCTCCCCTCCAGGGATTTCCCGCAGACCGCGCCTCCCAGCTCCGGCTAGAAAACCCCAGCGGGAGGCTGTCCCTTCCGGAGCCCGAGCTGAGGCAGAATCATGTGAACGTGATCCCTGTGGGGCTGGCGCTGGCCCAGCAGCTCTCACCAGCCACAGGAGCAGGGCGGCGGGCTGCTCCCCCCACCCCCACCCCCACCCCCACCCCGGAGGCAGGGAGCAGCCTTGGGAAGGTGGGGGGAGGGAGGGGGGGGTGTTAGGCCGCAATTAGGGACAGGGGGCCTGCAGGAGAAGTGGCTGCACTACTTCTACCCATCAAACCACTCTGAGCACCCACGGCCGTGGTCGGCAAACCACGGCTCGTGAGCTACATGTGGTTCTCTGGCCCCTTGAGAGCGGCTCTTCCACGAAACACACGGCCTGGGCGAGTCTGTGTTGAAGAAGTGGCGTTAGAAGAAGTTTATGTTTTAAAAAAAAAAAAAAAAATGTGGCTCTCCAAAGACATTTCAATGGTTGTACCGTTGATATCTGGCTCTGTGGACTGACGCGTTTGCCGACCACTGAGTCCCACGGGATCCCAGGAGAGGAGACCAGGTCCTCGCTGAGCCGCCCGGGTGACCGGAGCAGACCTCGGACCCCAGCGAGGACAACAGGGCGGCGACGAGGCAAGGACGGGGCACGCTGACCGTCTCCATTCCCACCCCCAGGACGCCCCTCTCCAGCCGCCAGCCACCAGCACCTGGGCCAGTGGCTCTCACGTGCGTTAGGAAGTACTCAGAGCTTATAAAAAGCAGTACCCATGCCAAGCTCACCCCACCCGAGTTAAACCTCACTCCCTGGGGACGCGGTGCCAGCACCACCGGCCTTAAAAGCTCTCTGGGCAGCAGGTACGCGCGGGAGCAGGCTGGCCCGTTGTTCAGGCCCACGGAGGAGCCAGGGCATCGGAGCAGCACCCTGGGCCGCCCAGGAGGCAGCATTCATGTTTGTGAACAGCTCGGGCTCCGGGTGGGGAGCACGCACAGGGCTTGGCTTCCCGGGGGCTCTGGCTCTCAGGAGCATCTGCTAAGCTCTCCCAGCAGAGCAGCCCCAGGGCCCGGGAGGCTCCCCGGCTCTGCCTCCTCCTCCTCCTCCTCCTTCTCCTCCGGGTGGGGAAACTCGGGCCCAGCCAGGCAAAAGATCTTTTTTCTTTAAAAAGAAATAAATATATTTTATTGATTTTTTTTTTTTTTTTTTTTTTTTTACAGAGAGGAAGAGAGGGATAGAGAGCTAGAAACATCGATGAGAGAGAAATACCGACCAGCTGCCTCCTGGACACCCCCTACTGGGGATGTGCCTGCAACCAAAGTACATGCCCTTGACCGCAATCGAACCTGGGACCCTTGACTCCACAGGCCGACGCTCTATCCACGGAGCCAAACCGGTTCCGGAAAAGCTCTTGACCAGGGCCTTACAGCCACACCACAGAGCTGTGATCCTAGGACCCTGCTGCCCACGTCAGAGCCACGCTATTTTGGCGGCGTGACCTCCTCCCTCCTTGGACGCTGGTCATGGGACGTGTGGCCGGAGCCTGGAAGCCCAGGCCCACCACACACGGGAGGGTGTCCCTGAGGATGTGCGTGCCCCTTGCTCTGCAAGTGGTCTGCGGGGCTTGTCTTCTGCAGAGAGCAGATCGCTCTAGTCCTGTCGGGGACTGTGCTGCCCCCTGTCCCCCCGCCACGGGGCCTGGGCCCTCTCCAATGGTCTCCTACGTTAGTTACTGGGAAGGCTGCGCCTGGCTAGGGGGAGTCCTTCCCCACAGACCAGACGCTGGTTCTGAGTGGCGGGAGTGTGGCTGGCTCTCCCAAAGGACAGGTCGGTTCGGGGTGCAGGCTCCCCCCAGGACACCCCCCCAAAGAGAGCACTCCTGGCTCTGTCCACAGGGCAGCCCAGTCCACCGGACATGCGCACAGAGACCATCTACGCCTGGAAGACACTGCTGACACTGTGCCCGCCCCCTCCCCCCAGACCCCCAGGCTGGGCAGCCCCCTCCGCCAACAGGGGGCACCACCCCCTCTGGGATGGGAAGCCTCCCTCTCTCTCCAGGGCCTGGGCCTCCCCCCCATCCCCCCTGGGCCTGTGGGACTGCAGATGGGATGAAGCTGGCTCCAGCTTGAGTCACATCGCTGAGCCCATGTCCTCTGTGACATGCCCACCAGGGACAGGAAGAGCAGCCCGCGCTGTGATCTATGCTGGCGCTAGGATTCCATCTCCTAGCGAGAAGCCGTGATGACACCGAGCATCACGCAGTGGCTTGAGGGGCCTAGAGACCCATCACCTCGGCCCTCAAAAACCTCTCCGCGTAAACCTGCGGGCGTAAACCTGCAGCGAAGCCAGAGCCGTGAGTCTGTCATCAAAGCGTGGCCTCCAGAGAAGCCAGGGTCCAGCCCCCATTCACACCCCTCCCCCCAGGCCCAACGTGCCAGAGCCTCGGAGCCACCGCTGCCGAGCAGAGAAGGGCAGGCAGTGAAGGGTGAGAATGCTCAAGCCCAGGGTCCGGGGTGTGTGTGACCTCATGGGGCTGCCAGGGGCAGCTGCTGGGCTCCTCCCATCCTGGGAAGACAGAAGGGCTGAAACTGGGCCAGGCCCGCCGCCTGAATTCCTTTCCCCTCTGTCTCGGCCCCAGGGCCCGCAGTCATGAAGTACCGTGGACCCCACTGGATGACAGACCGGGCTGCCGGAACCCTGGCTGTCCTGCCTGCCCCCCACATGGACATCTCCTCTAGGGATCCGGGCTGAGGGGCGGGTGAGATGTTCTGGAGGCTCGTGTGAGGGCGACAGGGCCCCCTGCCAGAAGGGCACTCACGGGCCCCCCGAGGTCCAGGCAGCCTGGGCGTCATCATGGGGAGGACTCTGGAGTCTGCCCTGAGCTGGTAACACCAAGCAAGGCCTCGGCACAGGGCAGCAACCCTGTGGTCACAGGACAGAGGTGAAAGGCAGAAGCTCTGGGCCAGACAGGGGTTAAAAGACAGAGGAGGCCAAGATTCCTGAGCTGTCGCCGTCTGGCTATGTGACCTTCACACGTCGCCTTCCCGGACAATCAGCGGACTTCTGTGAGAGCCCGAGAGAGGAGGTCCAACACGTGCCTGGCATGCGGGAGGTTCCTGTGTGAGTGAGGCTGCAGGGACAGGGGGATGGCGGTGGTGACAGCGCCGGCCCCTCAGGCGAGAAGGCCCTCCCGCAGTCCGACTCACCCTAGGAGAGGTGGAGGGTGGGAGGGCCAACTTGGTAAGAAGCTTGCGATGGCGCGTTACCTTGTTCTCCACGGCTACGCTGCTGATCTGGAGCTGGTGGGGGGGGGGGGGGGGGGAGAGAAGGCCTTGCAGGGGTCCTCAAACTTTTTAAAGTGGGGGCCAGATCACGGTCCCTCAGAGAGCTGGAGGGCCGGACTATATGAACTACTAATTCCTACTGTAACACCTCGGCTGCGCTCACTGCCCAAAAAACCTGGCGGGCCGGATCAGACTCCTCTGCGGGCCGCATGTGGCCCGCGGGCCGTAGTTTGAAGACGCCTGCTTAGGAGGAGCTTAGAGGAGCCTCGTGAGTTCTGATAAGCACAAGAAATGTCTATCCGGAGTCACCTGCTGTCTGCCTGCAGGGATCTCCGCTGACTTGCGTCTTGAAGGCGCCTTGGGCCATACCCTTCAGCGTGGGTTTGCATCAGAGGAGCCCATACAAGGCGCTGCACTGCTGCAGGTTCAGAAGTGCCGGGGTGCGAGTGAAGATGGCCAGAAGGACCGAGAGGAGGAGGAGCGGCAGGGATCCTCCCGGAGTGCCTGGGAGCAGCTTTGGACCGGGAAGCAGGTCACTGCCCTTCGGGAGCACGCGCTCAGTACCATGCACCATGCTGAGCACCTGCCCATTGTTTCCTGTCTGCACCCGCACGTCAGCCCCAGGAGGCAGGGTCCTCCCTGTCTGACAGCCAGGCTGCTGGGACTCTGAGAGCGCCAGCCACCTGCCCAGGTCACAGGGCTCAGAAACAGCGGGACCGTCGGACTCCAAAGGCAGGGCTCTGGGCTACTTGAGGAGTGTCCCGCTGGCCACACACCTAAGGGCTTAAGACAACGCTGATGTCTTCTCAATGGGGGGTCAAAAGTCTGCCTTGGATCTCGTCGGGCTAACATCTAAGTGTCGGCAGGGCTGCCTTCCTTCTGGGGGCGTGTAGGGGAAATGGACTTCCCTTCCTTCCTGGCTTCTAAAGGCTCTGGCGTTCCTTGGCTTGTGGCCCCGACATCTTCAGAGCCAGCAGCGGGGCCCTGAGTCCTCCTCACATCCCTCCCCTCCCACGGTCACATCTCCTCCAACTCCGACCCTCCTGCCCCCTCCTCCACTTTTTTTTTTTTTTTAATATATTTTATTGATTTTCCACAGAGAGGAAGAAAGAGGGATAGAGAGCTAGAAACATCAATGAGAGAGAAACATCGACCAGTTGCCTCCTGCACACCCCCTGCCAGGGAGTGCCCACAACCAATGTACATGCCCTTGACCGGAATCGAACCTGGGACCTTTCAGTCCGCAGAGTGACGCTCTATCCACCGAGCCAAACCGGTTTCGGCCCCTCCTCCACTTTTAAGGACACTTACGATCACGCCAGCTGAGCATCGGAGGAGCTGCGACTCCAGCCAAGGCCTGAGTTGATTGTATTTTAATAATTACCAATGCTAATTAATTATGTAAATGCATGGGGATTTACACAGTGCCTTGTTCACACCACTCTTCCCCTCCAAACAGCAGGTGCCATCGGGAGGAAGGAGCTGGGCCTGTTTTGTTCTCTGCCAAAATGAACGCATGACAAACAGGTGTTGGGTGTTTGAATCCATAAGCGAACCTAAACTCCACTGACTTCTGCAGCCCACTTGCAGAAGGCCAGGGTCAGGGGCTACGGAACCGGGGGAGACGGGATGTGGGATGAGGTGGCCACAGGAAGAACGTTGGTTTTGACTCTGAGGGCGTGGGTGGGTGGCTGTGTGTGGAAATGCATTACCACGGAAGCCTACTGCCCAGAGAG